TCCCCCATACAGCCCGTGGCCCCCACAGCCTCCCAGCCCCCTGAGCCGGGCCTCAGCTGCCATCCCGGCCGGGACCCACCAGCTGCCGACCCGTTACCTGGGCAACATTCGGGCCGCTCTACCCACTCCAGTGACAGCCGACTCGACCATCAGCCAATCAGGGGCAAACACGGGAGCACGTGGCACCGGAACACCAATTATAACCCCTCCCGGCAGACTTACGATCCCAGCTCCCCGCCACTGGCTCAGGGGACTACCGATCCCAGCATGCACCGCGGAGCAGAAAGACTACAGCTCCCAGCGTGCCTGGCTCCTGGGCTTTCCCCACGTGGCGGCGGAGCCGGGAGGATTTCTACAGCTGTCGCTTGCGGCACGTGTCCAGCCAGCCCTTGCGCGGGGGAGCAGCACAGGCAGCCGAGCGCCCCGCCGGACTTCAGCCTGGAGCCCAGGGCGCTGCGGGCGGGTGGTTCGGCCCCGCAAATGCTGGGAGGCGGCAGCGGGGCCGCGTTCGACTAAGGGGAGCCCGCTTGGCAGCCCAGAGCGCCAGCCAGGGCAGGGGGCAGCTCCTCCGAGCCCCTCCACTCTCAGCCCCGCTGGAAACTCGAGCCTGGTCCTGTTGCAGGAGGGACGTGATTTCAAGCCTGGCCTGAAGCCAGCTTCCCCTGGGCAGGAGAAACCCCAGCCCTCTAATGAGTGACCCGCTGGGACCTAGTGCTGCTGCTGCAGGCAGAGCTCTCTCCTCACAAACATCTTTAAAGAACGAGTAGTACTGCGTCTGGGTTGTTTTTAAAGTGGCAGACTAACCCGGCTTCCCTGGGGAGCCTCTCTCCTCAGCCACTCAAAGCCATTCTTCAGAAAGCTAAGGCGAGACCACGAACGATGGGGCCTTCCCCTCCATTTTCCCCTCTGTGCGCAACAGGGATGGAATAAGGGGTTTTGCTGCTCCTGTTTCCCTCTGCACTAGCTGGCCTAGCAAGGAGCAGAGGGAGCTCCTGGAACTGCTCCCATCCCACCTCAAGCTTCAAGATGACAGTTCTACTCCTCTGACCCACTTGCATTCTCTAAAATAAGGGCCCGGCCTGTCTGTGCAGGAGAGGACTTTCTCCCCCCTCCCTCGGGACACCACAAACCTCACCACTTTCTACTCCCAGTGCAGGCGTGTTTCTCTGACCCACTTTCTCTCTCAGAAATACATAGCAATACATACTTTTTTTTAAAAAGAAAGCCTATAAAAAGACACTACAGTGCACATACTTCCCACACCTGCTCCTTAGGGAAAGGATGAGAGAACCACTCTGACAGAGATTGGTCATGTTGCATAATAGATGACTGGAAAGTGCTCAGATACTTATACAATGATGGTCTCAGGCTGCTCCTGCAAACACTGCATGGGTAAGAGACTGCTGACAGCAAATAACGCCTTCATTTGGCAGAAAAAGGCACAGTATGAATCCAAAGCTAGACTAAAATTAGGCACTTTTTTTAAGCAACAAAGGTTAATTAACAATTGGAGCAATTTATCTAGGGCAAAGAGATTTTAGAAAGATATTCACTCCAGCATTTAAAAGATATGCTATAGTTCAAGCAGAAGAACCTCATACAGCCATTTCTTCTACAGCCTATGTAATGTAGGATGTCACACTTAGACCATAACGGTTTTTCCTGGCCTCAAAACACATAAGAGAATCAGGTAAAACAAATATCACTAGATTTATAAAGGGTTTAAAATGTCAGAGCAGGAGGCTGCCTAAAGAATTTTCTTACTTTATATCAGCAAAAGGAAAGCTTTGCCAGTCACAAACACGCTTCCATTTTTTATCCCTCTGTAATAGCAATGCACCCCTAGTTCATTGAGGGATTCTGAGCCCTTTGATAATGGAACATACAATATTTTTACCAAAACCTAAGCATGAGATTTTGGGTGAGCTAGAGAACAATTTTCATGAAAACAATCTCTCCATGAGATTTTACAGAGATCAGGGTGAAAACACCAACTCAAATCTTGAATTCTTTATTCAGGAAAAACATCTATTGGTTTTGAGGAGTGTTTCTTTCCCATCCATGCACTTATCTCAGCTGGATTTTGTAGCCAATGTACAAGTAGTGGGATATAAGTTTAAGGCAGATATACGAGAAGCCTACAGAAGACATTAGCTTAAGCATTTAGCACAAGTTAGGCCTCTTAGGTTTTAGCATAAATAAGTTGACCAAGTCACAAGACCACAGAGGATATAAACTGTAATACGCACGTCTCCTGAAATTCTGAATAAAATGCTCATAACTAACCACAAGAATTCAGTTGATGCCAGTTTGGGTATTTCAGAATAGAAACATAAACAGATGCTTAGCCACAGGGTTGCTAATAGTAATGGATGTATATGTCAATATGTTTGAAATAGTAAATAGTAAATATATTAACCTATAGAATAAGGACCTCGCAACATTATTAGGACAAGAAAATTAGTTATGAGCAAAGGAAGCCAAACACTTATGAATATTCATGGCAATCACTAGACCCTATAGTAGGGCTAAGCATGGCCTAGATGAGATAGGATAGGATCTCATAGGTTACCTCTGATCTCCTTTGATCTCCACAAGGATTGAAAGAGTATGCCTCTGGCACAAGACTAGAAATAAAATTAATACTGCATTACTGTTACCTTCTTGTTTGGATCAGCACTTCTGAGTACTTACTATGTTAACAAAATTAATGAAAGCTCAGAACATTTTTAAGTGTGATTGTTGCAACTTAAATTGGGGTTTCCAATTTAACCATAATTCTAACCCTGGGACTAGTCTAGGAACTGTCAAACCTCAAAGAGTCAATTCATCAGCTGGGGATTATTGTTCATACACAACAAATAGATCCGGTAATAAATAAATAATAATTAATAATAATAAATAGCATTAATAAATAAATTACATTATACTGGGGACTTTTGTCTGAGGCAGTCATGTTTTTGCCAGACAGCCTTGATGTAGCTTCTAAGATTCAGGTACACCTTCCGCAACAACAAAACAAAAGACAACACACGTTGCTTGCTCTTCCATCTGTTTATAAAATTCCACCAATTTTCATTAAAATTGCACAGCATTGGGATGGGCACAAAGGACAAGAATAGCCACCTTACATTAAGAAAAATGCTCAACTGGTCAGAATCGTCATGGTTGTTCAGTCTCTTCCCCAAGACTATTCCAGCACTCCCCACACAATTGTGTGTCTCTCTCACACACTCCATGCCCCACTACTCTTTCCAGCCATGCTCCTCTGTCATGTTCCCTCTCCAGTCAACAGTACAATGCTCGCCAGGACAATGACAGGCAGAAAGGCTTCACACACCACAAAGCTTAGTTTAATTTGATATTTAATCATAAGGCATCAATGTAAATTTAAAAAATTTCCACCAGGGTCATATACATTCTCCCACAAAATAAAATGCTGTAAGACCAAGGCCTGGTGCTGCAAATGAGGCTAGTGGTCACAGGCTGTCACTGCCGGCAGTGGTGTCCAGGGTACTTAGTGCCAAGAATGGCAATAAAGGAAGCGGAAAGGTCAATTTGCATAAATCAGCGTAACAAGGTAATAGGGAGTGAAAGGAAAGAATTGTACGGAAAACACCATTGCAGGGGTGAGGGGAGGGAGGAAAGGTTAATCCCAATAAAAGAGTAAAGAGCACAGCTTGGAGATGCCACGCCCCAGAACGCTGATGGCACATTTTGGAAGTGTCTGTAGAACTATGGAGGCCTGAGTTTATTATTGCTTTATCCCAGCTTGGCCCATGCTAAGGCGAATGTGAAATCCAACGTCATTTAAGGCCAGAAAAACAGCTCAGTAACAGCACCTAAATCCCCATCCGTACATGGGTGTAAATTGATTTCATTTGGTGTAATGTCTCTCAAGTTTTCTTCCTTGCCTGTGCTATGTACGTCTTTCACAGCAGCCCTAAAACATGCCAGAACAAATAACATTACATGGAAACCACTGGGGATGTCTCTAGGAGTGGGTAAAAACAGGAACTTAAGCCCCCCTCAGAAAACACAAGCAGACTTATTTTAAAATCATAGTGTTTCTTCCCAAAAAGATTGCTTCCAACTCAGTTCTCCTTTAGCTGAGACTACTCCGAAGCTTTCATGCTTTGCTTCAGCTAGCTTACTTGCTACAATGCTACATCATTTCCAAGAGAGCTGCAGGGAGCCCCCAGAGAGGCACTTAGAAACTGCCCACATTTTAGTCCCGAAAAGGTTCTTTAGAACCTATCGTCCGTGTTGGGTCATTTGTTGGGGCTGCACTAGCAATTCCCAAAGGACTCTCCGTGTGTTTTATCTCTGATGAGCAACTAAAACCATGCTTTGCCCACGGGGAATGGGCAGTGGAGGTGTTCTCTCTCTCTCTGTTAGTAACAGTCAGGTGTGCCTTGCCAGCGATCCTGAGAAAGCACCCTGGGTCAGTGCCTTGGCATTGCATTGCCCTTAGGAGTCAGAGAGCAAACTTGGGTACAGTGGGGTTTAGGCTCCAGCGCTTTGCATCCAGAGAAAGGTTGCTTCCTTCATCTTTCCTCTAACAGACTGTTATTCAGAGCAAGGGGAAAAAATATATAAACCAGAATCAGTATGGTCACCATCTTCATGGTTGTCTTGCAGGTCCAGTGCATGCAGGTGATTTTTTCTAAATTAAATAAAGGTCCCATTTCTTATTCTCGAAAGAGAGTCAACAGGAAAAACACGGGTTATTTGGAGGATGCAGACACTCTCCTTGCCAGGGAACTAATGAGAATTGAAGCTGGACTTATCAAAGGAGTTTAGGGGATTTAGGTCTCCAACTTCCATTGAAATTCAATTGCATTTGGACACGGAACTCCATTGCGCCCTTTTGAGAATCCCAATCTGTTTGCTCATCAGTCCTAGTCAGTGCAAAGGGAACAAAGATGGTAGGGTTGAGTGAATGGGGAGGATTTTAAATCTTCCATGCTGTTTCCATGCTCTCCATACAGAAA